TTTTTTTACAATTGTAAACGTAATGTTCAATAATGGAGGCAAACGAACAATTAGTAAGAGAAGAAAATACACTGTTACTACAACAAAATGCCATCCTAAAGGCTGAATTACAAAAACTTAAAATGCAAGGCATCGATAAAACGGACCCACCCCCCACAGACCCATTATTTCCTCAACCTACGTCAGTATGCAGAGTAGCCATAAAACTTCCTCCCTTCTGGCCTGATCGGCCTGCAATTTGGTTTGCTCAGGTAGAGGCACAGTTCTCGATTTCAGGCATCTCCGCTGACCTGACTAAATTTAACTACGTGATTGCTCAGTTAGATACCCGAGTTATTGGGGAGGTAGAGGACATTATTCTCCAACCACCACCTGAGGACAAATATGGTCGCCTCAAATCCGAGTTGATCCGTAGGTTGTCCACGTCTGAGGAGCAACGTGTCAGGCAACTTGTCAGTGATGTTGAGTTGGGTGACCGCCGTCCTTCGCAGTTTTTACGTCATCTTAGATCGTTGGCAGGAAACACCCTCACTGATGAAAATTTGCTTCGCCAGCTATGGATGCGTCGCCTCCCACAACATCTCCAAGCAATTTTGGCCGCCCAATCAGAACTCTCGCTGGACAAAGTCGCTGAGCTAGCGGACAAAATTTTGGAAGTTTCGCCTGGTATGGTCGCACCTCATTCATCTGCTGTTTTCTCAGCAAGCACGTCTGCCGTCTCACCCCCTTCGTTAGAAGGTATCACACGGCGTCTGGATGAGGTCACGCGTCAGCTTGCTGTGCTTACTGCAGAGCGCGGTAGAAATAGGACCCGGGATTTCTCAAACCAGCGACGACGCTCACAAACGCCTGGTAAGCTTCAAATGTGCTTTTACCATAACAAATTTAATACTAAGGCTGTTAAGTGTATTCAACCATGTACATGGACGCCGCCGCCACCTTCGGAAAACGACAAAAGCAGTTAATGATGGCGACGTCTGACTGCTTAAAGGAGAGTCGCCGATTATTTGTCGCCGATTATTTGTCACCGAAAGCGCAACCAAGCGCCGTTTTTTAATAGACACAGGCTCCGACCTCTCCTGTTACCCATACCAGTGGTTAGCAAATAAGCCGGTACGTTCAAACTATACGTTAGCGGCTGCCAATGGTAGTGAGATACGCACTTTTGGTCACATAGAAATGGCGCTTATTTTGGGGCTACGCCGCACAGTTCAATGGCGATTTATTATCGCTGACGTCGACACCGCCATCATCGGCTCCGATTTTCTGGCGCACTATCGGTTGTTGCCAGATTGTGCCAGTAAGAGACTCGTCGATAGCATTACCGGGTTGTCATGCGTTGCTGCCGTCGCTGTTTTAGACCAGACCAGCGTCAAAGTTGTCTGCGCTCCGTCATCCCAATTTAGTGCACTTCTTGCGGAATTTCCGTCCATTACGAAGCCACGAAACAGAATATCCGCCGACGGAACACAACCACCATCAGAGCGCATTCAAGCTCTAAAAGATTTTCCTCTACCACAGACCGTACAAGGACTCCGTCGTTTCATTGGGATGGTTAATTATTATCGCCGATTTCTGCGCAATGCGGCGAAGTTACAAGCACCGCTAGTCAACGCAATCGTGGCCGCTGGAGGTAAAGGTCTCACACCGATCACTTGGACACCGGAGCTCGAGGAATGCTTTAATGCCTGTAAAGATAGCTTGTCATCTGCAACTCTGTTGGCACACCCTTTGCCTAACACTGAGCTAGGGCTTTTCACCGACGCTTCCAGTTCTCACGTTGGTGCCTGCCTTCAGCAGGAAGTCGGTGATGCTTGGCAACCCCTGGGTTTCTTTAGTAAAAAGCTGAATCCCCGACAGTGCCAGTGGCCAGCATACTACCGAGAACTTCTTGCGGTATATGAGAGTGTGCAACATTATCGACACTTCCTAGCCGCACAACACGTAACGATTTATACGGACCATAAGCCATTAGTTTACAGGTCCTCGCAACGTCGCGATAGGTTTCCTCCGGTACAGTTAAATCAACTGTATTTTATTTCGTAGTTTACCACGGACATTGTCCATATAAAAGGGGTGGATAATACGGTGGCGGACGCCATGTCCCGCATCGAAGCTGTTAGTTTTGAAAATGACCATTCTGCTCTCTCCGCTTGCCAAAAACTTGACGACGAATTGAAAAAGTATCGTAACGATGGAAATTCTTCTCTAAAACTAGAAAACGTCTTAGTTCCTGGTACAAACACTGTTTTGGTCTGCGACATGTCCACTGGGCGACCACGCCCATTTGTATCGGAACCTATGCGAAAGAAGATTTTTGCTCAGCTACATAATCTTAGCCATCCTGGTACTAGATCAACCATTCGATTGATCTCAGATCGTTTCGTGTGGCCTGGCATTGCTAAAGATTGCCGTTATTGGTGCCAAAC